ACAGCCCAACTCATTTAACTACCATGACACCAGGGACCCATGAGGGTGGAGGGCGGTTGCAAAAGTAGAGAGCTACACTGTATCCTGGATTGCAGGGTATAGTATCCAAGTTTTTCATGGCCAAGGGGTGCTAAATAAGTTTTTTTCTCTGAAAAAGGAGTCATAGGCCAAATAAGTCTAGGACTTTGAGGGTCGAATGACCCTTTTGCAGGGGTCACCTGATTCATAACAGTAGCAAAATTAGTGGTGAAGTAGCAATGAAAATAATTTCATGGTCGGGCGGGGTCACCACAACATGAGGAACTGTATGAAAGGGTCACGGCATTAGGAGGTTGAGAACCACTGGTTTAGAAGGTCATATCTAACTCCTCAGAAAGCGTAATGGGAAAGAACGCAAGGCTCCGCCCTTACTGGCTGTGCCATTTGGAAGGCGGGGGGAGGTGGAATTTCTTTACTTGCATTGGTTTTGAGGGTCTTACTATATCACTAGCGGAGTGCCTGATATAAAGTAGCTACTGAAGAAATGGCTGCTCTTTTTATGCCACCTTCTCTAGACCTGCATGTACTTTACCCCTGGATCTGATAGTCTTGCACAGAGTTCTGGACACTGCCATCCTGCTTGCCTTTCCTGGACTCATTTCGGTTTGTGTCTGAAATATTTTTAATGCTTTCCTGGTTACTTAATTCCTATACTGTCTTTATTAGTGTGCTTAGACACTACTTTTCATGCCAAGGTTTCCCTGGATAAGGGTTTTACTATTTAGATTAAGATGGGGCTTTAAAAAGTTCATGGGAGAATGGAATGAAAAGATAATGGATTTTTCACATGAACTTTTTCAAGTCACCACATATAAAAAGAATTCCTAAGACTCCATAACAGGTTAAGCGATACCATCCAACAATGGAAAACACATTTGAATAGACATTTCTCTAAACACATAATATGGCCACTAAACACAAGTAAAGATCACTACGGAAGTGCCAAACGATGCATGAGTGGAACCACATGTAGGTGCGACTTTACTTCCACTCAGACCAAAACCAAGCCTACAGTCAGTGAGTCAAATCCTACTCACAGGCACCCTGTAGGACAGGACAGAACTGCCCACAGGTGGATTCACAAAAAGAGTTAACCAGGAGTTACCATAGGGAGAAATTAGATGATGACCAACTATTAGACAGAATAGCATCTGGGGTTTTAAAGGGTTGTTTCCAAACAAGTAGCCATCTAAGTGGGACGCCAAGTTTACATAGATGCATGCAGCGCACCAACATCCACGACCCAAGGATTGTAAATAATATAATCCCAATCTGAAGGAGGGAAGAGTGTCACAGCTTAAACTGTGAGATCCTGGTGTGCAGAAGGCTATGGGTGACAGTGGAAGCAAAGATACATTTGCAGGATCTACATGGAGAGTAAGCGTCCAGTGATTTCCCTGTAACCATAATGGAAGGATGGGAAAGACAAAGATATTGGAGAGGGATTATTATCCAGGAGCGATAAACCTATAGAGACAACAACTAGAGTAAGAGTTCTTGGGGCTACAGTGGAGGTGGTGTGGGGGGGGGGCGTAAAAGGGGAGCTGATATCAAGTTCAAGAAGGAAGAAAACGTTTTGAAACTGATTTTGATAGCAACTGTAAAGTACTGCTTGATGTGGTTGGACTATGGAATGGTATGATGTCTGGATTAGTACCTAATCAAATGGCTTTGGGTAAAAACCTAGTAGTTCTACTCCTAGGTATATATTTGAAAAGACTTGAAAGCAGAACTCACAAATTAAACCTTATATGCCAATATTCATTTGATGCCTTCCTCACAAAAATCAAAAGGTAGAAGTAACTTAAATACTTTCCATCAAGAGATGAATGGAAAAACTAAATATGTACTAAGTGTGCTATGTACATATATATTCAAATATTATCCATACATGAAGAGAAATCAAATTTGGATACATGCTATGCCATGGATGAACCCTGAAGACGGCCTAAATAAAATAAAGCAGACACAAGACGACAAACATCACGTGATCCCACTCATGAAATCCAGAATAGACAAACACCCTCGCCCAAAGTTTGCTAGCAGGTATCAGAGACAGCAGGAAGGGGAACGGCGGGATTCTTGTTTATAAGGCATTGCGTTTCTATTAAAACAAAAAATGAAAACAACTCCAAACAAAACTCACCACCAAGTTAATTCCAACTCCTAGCAACCCCCTAGAGTAGAGCTGCTCCTGTGGGTTTCTACGACGGACTCTTCCCAGGGTTTAAAAGCCCCATCTTTTGTCCCCGAACAACTGGTAGTTTCAAACTGCTGCCTTGCACTGAGCAGCCCTAAGCATCACCATTAGTCAACCAGGCCTCCTGAGTTTCTGATACATGTGAGTCTGCGTGTGTGACAGATTTGGAAATGGACGGTGAGGATGTTTGCATAAAATGGTGTCCGGGGTCATTGGGCTCAATCTTCACTATATTTCGTCAGAGCTTGAAGTACTTTTCCATTCCCACCTACGTGACATAGTTTTGTGATTAGGTTATCTGCCCTC